AAATACTTTTATTCTGCGAGGATGGGCTGATGAAAAGTGAGAGTAAAGACATATATTGTTAAAAAAATTATATTTCTAATATGCTGATTTGTTGCTCAAGGAGCATTTCTTATTTTTGAAAATGGTTGTGCTGCTTCATGTTTTTGTCGAAATGTGAAAATGCCCTTTTTTAGGATTTTTTTTTGATTAATAGAAAGATTTTTTAACATGATAAATGTCTTTACTGTCAGTTTTTATCAATTTATTGCCTCAATGCTGAATAATTGCTCAAGACAAACCAGTCAATTCACAGATAAAACTTTATTACAGATAGTCTTGTCCCAAAATCAGGTCATTGGTTGAGCCACAAATTAACTAATGTGTAGTTATAGTTTCTGCACATTAAGCTGTATTAATTGTGTTGTGTTATTTTGTGTATAATTGTTAATTTGTCTCTTCCTGTGCAGGTTGAGGCTTTGCTCTCACAGATGGACGCTGTCAATCAGAAGTACAGCACAGCTGTGTGTGAGGCCGATGTTTTGCGGCAGTGTTTAGGAGACGCACGGAGTGACAGCTCTCGACTTCACAGGGAAAGCGAGCTCGTCGTGACCAATGTGAACCAGTGGGTGAAGGAGCAAAAGTAAGACTCGTTGTCTTCTGCATTCAACAACGTACAACATTCAACGCTTTTGGACATGTAATCATGGTATTACATTGCCACGGTACTTTTTTGTAAGTGTAAAAAGAGCTGTTGGAATGCTTGATTCTGATTGGTCGATCACTGCATTCTAGAGACAAATATTTTTGCATAATTATCTAAATTGTGTAATTGATCATTATTGTTAACTAAAACGAAAACTATTAAAAGTAATTTTTGTTCATTGAAATAAAGCTGAAATTAAATCTAAATACTAGATGAAAAGTACAGATTACATTAAAAAAAATAATAATAATAAAGATATGAAAATATCCACTGGAAAGAAATATGTTTATGTTGAAGGTATACAATTACTAAAACTGAAAATAAATATAAATCTTAATAGAAATATTCACAGAATCACGTAAAATGACTAAAACTTCACTAAAATTAAAATGAAAACTAAAAATATGTAATATAAAATCAACGTGAATTGGAAATATTTATAAATGCTATAATAGTATATAAATAATACTGAAATAACACTGGTCCCAGGCAGCTAATTAATTTACTTTGAAACGATTTTCACTCAAATATTGCTAGTAAATTTAACAAATAATTACAAAGAAATGGCAAGTAACACATTGAATTAAACCTGAAATTTTGAAGTAGAAAGAATAAAGGAGTATTTTTTGTAAAAACAAACTCCAAAAATCTCTATTTACAAGTTCAAAAAATTATTTCTATAGTGTAGCTGTGCTAGTTTATTGTGTTTTGTATCACTCCATCTCACATAACAATATAATTTCAACTCAGTTCAATACTTCATGTCTATTTATGTGTTTATGTTGTTTTAAATTATATTTTGTATATATTTTAATAAAACAAGAGAATGCTATTTCAGTCTTTCTACTACCAAATTTCACATTTAATTTAATGTGTTTAATTCAGTTCTTTGTAATTAATTATGAAATTTACTAACAATTTCTGAGTATTTTTTCTCAGTATACCTACCTAATCACCCTTTTGGTGTTTATTTTGCAATAATGACCATCTGGCATGTGTTTTCCCTTACATAACATCAAATATGACTTTTTACTGCATTGCATGTCGCAAATTGTATCGCATGTTACAGTGCATGGTTCCTGTTGGAAACAGTATATAGATTTGCAAAGTCTAGAAAGTGTCTGTGGTGCATCAGAACTTCTGCATCCAGAGAGAGGCAGTGTTATAATGGCTGTATCATTATCATTCAGCATCATGGTTCATTGTGACAGCAGCTCGCAGCTTCCTCACTGCAGCCCATTATCTCTGTCCCTGCTCCACTCCAGGCACACTAATGAGAAGCTGGCACTCAAGATCAAAGACCAGAGCAGGAAGATCATCCACCTGACAGCTGAGAGAGAGTAAGCCCCGCTCACCCTGTCCCAAGCTGTTTCCGCTCCTCTCAGTTGGAGTGTGTACAAACATGGATTTTAGGTCCAAGTAGCAGGGAATGTGCATGCAAAGATACGGTGAGAGGGTACACTTATGTGAAATGGGATTAGGCTGTAATGTTTGTCCTGTCTTTATGCAGTCACCTTCAGGAGAATGTGAAGGGTTTACAGGGGGAAATCAGGAGGCTGAAAGCAGCTGGATAAAGAGAGAATGGAAGCAGAGCGACTGAAGGTAACACACACTCCAACGCAAAGCCTCTAACACACTCCATTCATCAAAGAATCCTGAAAAACATGTATCATGTTTTCCACACAAAAAATATATTTAGCAGCACAACTGTTTTCAACACTGATAATAGTCAGAAATGTTTCTTGAGCAGCAAATCATCATAGTAGAGTGATTTCTGAAGGATCATGTGACACTGAAGACTGGAGTAATGATGCTGAAAATTCAGCTTTGCATCACAGGAATACATTACATTTTCACAATATTACTATTTTTACTTTATTTTTGATCAAATAAATGCAGCCTTGATTAGCACAAGAGACATTCTAAAGCATTCAAAAATATTACCCCTAATATATATTAGGGATGGGCATTCCAAGCAAAAATAATATTCGTATTATTTGATTATTATTCGAAAATCGCACCCCTCCCCCGCAAGCACGCACAAACACCCATCAACAGAGAGAGATGGAGAGAGACGGGATTCACGCTTTCAATATGTATGATAAACTGTTTAATTCAGAAGATAGGCTACCTTAACTCAAGCCATATAATGATCGTAACGTGCTGAAACATATTAATATAATAAACATTAGCATAAATCAACTGCTCATAAGGCTAGGACATTTCCATTTCGTCACAATTATATCGTTGGGTAATTACGCTGTATATAAACTGCGGGCATCAGGGAGCCGTTATTAATATGCTGGGCATTGAAATCGCTTATGAACGCGCGCTTGATTTTTACTTTCACTTGCAAAATTCGCGATCACATACGGAGTTGCACTCGGCAGTACTTACCACACATTTGACAAGATTAGATGTTTGTCAGTGGTGCTCAGGATCTGCAAATCATTCGCCATCATCCTATCAGTCACCTCTCCTTACTCTGTTTATGTGGTAAGTGAAATGTTATGTACTGTAATGTAACAGGCTACGGCTAGTAAGCGGCTAACCATGTCCCTTTAGTGGGTTTGTAGAATGCGTTATTTGTTTTCTGCGCCTTTCACGGATTCAGCCACACCTCTAACCCAGTGTTTTTTTTTTGTTTTTTTTTATGCCACGCAAGTCTACATTGTGCGCGTGAGACACGCGTGAGTGTGTTCTTCTGTTGTCTTTGACAGCTTTTAGGTGCGTTATGGACCCTTTTCACAAGACTGTGATGACGTGTTTAATGGTCATCAGCATCGTAAATCCTCGAAAGTTTTTCATATTTGTATTTTTTTTTAAATGTATGTACATTTATAACACTATTCTATGTATTATATCACCTTTGCATCAAATTATAAAAAAAACTGTTAACGCTAATACGAGGGTGTTTCTAATGCAGCGTCTATGGGAGGGATGGTAAATTTGACAACGTTCCCTCTTGTGACTGCCGTTATCAGTCTCTCTCAATTTTTTTACCTTTTATTGAAAGTCATGAAAACACTATCGTGGAGTTTTTCTTTTGCTATTTGAGCAAATGGGAATGCAAAAAATGTATTTGTGGTACTCTCCCATTCACTGCTCTTCAAGTTAACCCAACTATGACGACTTCCGCTGCTGAGAAACCCGGAAATGTGAAAAAGGTCCATTCACTGACTTTTTTCTGACTTAAGTTTTCTTTATGAACATTGGTTGGAGCTTTTAATTTTTGGCAGCAGTGTTGCCAAGTCTACTTTAACACTGTTGCCGCGGGTTGTTTTTCATGTCCGCGGGTTGAAGCGACTCCAATAACATGATATTTATCCTGTGGAATGCGCATTTTAGTGGGTGAACCCCGCCAAAAAACATGTATTTTACCCCCCGGAATGCAATTTTTAACTGGGGACCCCCTCGAAACGCCATTGGGCTAGTTTTGAGTCGCGATTGGGCGGGTTTTCTTGTGAAAACCTGGCAACCCTGATTGGCAGCGCCACATGAACCACCGCATCAGCACGGAAAACATGGGGAAATGTTTTAAGACAATAATCGCACAACCTTTTGCGATATTCTATAATTAAATCAACTAATCGAATATTCGAAAATCGTGACCCATCCCTAATATATATTAAATAATATATTTCCGTCGAGGACAGCAAGCCAAGTTCATTTACAATTAGCCATCAGGACTGGATGGGCAGGCGAATTCATGAAATATATTTTAGATTGTTCGATCCTATTACTGGTCACCATTTTAGTCACATTCTTGCATTTTTACATAGTCCTGCTGTGTCTGATGAATATGAAAGTACAAATAATCCATGTAGCTTTCCAATGAGCTGCATGCATAATAATTATACTTTTAGTAACAAATCTAAATCACAAAATGCTGTTTCAAATCCTTGCAGTTTAAGTATATGATAGATTGAGTACAGCTACCCTGTAGAATTTGTATTTCCCTGCATTTTTGTATTCTTTGTAATATATTTTGATAATATTCTTACCTTATTTGTAATAATCACCTGTATTTCATGATAACCGCAGCACTCGCCTCACAAGTTAGTCATCACTGAGTGAATATTAACATTCACCTCTTTGGCAAACAGGCCGTAGCCTCAGTCTTCCATATAAACAGGTCTTAAATGCAGGTTTTGTCCAGTTTGATCTTTCTTCTTCTCCTCTTTCTTCTTCATAATTCCTGAATGACCCAATGCTGGCCATTTTCCTATTACACCTCTCCCTGTCTTATTATTTTTTCTCTCTTCCTCTATTCTCTGTTATCCCATACCCATGCATAACATCAGTGAAGACCGTCTTTGTTGTGATTAGGTTGGTATTTCTATCAGATGCAGAGAAAAGGTGTCCTACAACCGTGTCACCATTAGCCACCTCATTCTGGAGCGTCTGTCCTCTCGCCGCGCAATGATCCCGTTCTGTAGGTACAGGCTTATCCTCTGTAATGGGGTCTGGTCTGATTCACACTTGTGAAATTGGAAAGGAGAAGTTTAGAGATGATTGGAGAACTTTTGGCATAGTAGAGGCCAAGGGCTGGAGCTGCCGGTCTGAACCCAATCTGAACCGTGCTGATGAGTCCGTCCTGCAGGGTTGAATCCATTCTCTTCCCTGTTTGTTCTGAAGGTCCGGGACCTGCTCCACATGCCACCTTATTCCATTATTGATGATGGAGAAGGAGCAAGAGAGTCAGAGACCTGCTCAGGGTCTGACTTTACAGAGTAACGCTACTTCAGAAAATGTATTCAAAGAAAAGTCGAGAAGCCAATGAAGCATTTGGTATCGTTATCCTAGAAAGTGTCTTGACTAATAATGAATAGTGCATTTTTAAGAAACGGTTCACCCAAAATTGACAATTCTGTCATCATTTACTAACCCTCATGTTGTTCCAAGCCTCTATGAATGTATTTGTTTCTTGGAACACAACAGGTGAATTTTTATTATTCACTGCTATTTTTCTCTGCTGTAACTCTCACACCAGGTGTTGCCATTAAAATGTTCTTCGTCAGGTTTGATGTCAGTGACATTTGGTCATGAGAGACTTGAGAACCTGCTGCTATATATGCAATAGTTTGAAATGGCACCAACACATCATTTGTGTAGTATGTAGAACTTTTGTAGTCCTTTGGTGGACATGAGCATGATGATGGTCAAAGAATAATGACTTCATTTAGTCTGTTATCATATGGCTACTGAAGGCTTGGAATATATTGCGCTATGGGACTGCATAACCTGACTAACCAGCGGACCGATCTCATTCACAGCATCTGAAATGTTGTTTTGGTCATTCGGAAATGCTCGAGCAAAGTCTGTCATCAAAGTATTTCTGTATAATTGCCTCCCAGAAATGTCTTACACGACTGCGTTCCCAAACAGCAGCATCCACCTCCGAAAGCAATTACCGCATTCATTGCGTTTCGTCTGCTCGCTCTGAGGCGCAAGTAATTTATTATATATGAAAATTATTATATTCTCCTACTTTTCTTAGTGATTTATAGTGCCAGTTTATCAGGAAGTGACCATTTTTTTCTCTTTGACTTGTTGGATGGAAACGATGCTTGTTCGCAAATGTTTTATGCGATATTCCAGTTTTAGCATAAGTTAAATTTGCAACTTTGGATGGAAACCCGGCTAATGATTAAGATACATTTGTGTGTATTCAAGGTGTAAGGAATATTTGTAGGATTTTTTTTTTTTACTGTTTTACATGTTTTTGAATTTTTACTTGATGGTCACACCACATGACACTGATACAAAGAATATTTAGTCTTCATTTTAATTTTGTGTTGTGCTTGTTTTAATTTTTATTAGTTGGTTGTTATATTTCTATGTAGATTTTTTTTTGTTTTTTTGGGTGGATGGACTCTTCCAAGAAGAAGGGGCTTGATCCTTTGGATGAGTAGATTCAGCTTTTAGTAAATACAGAACAGTATGACTGCTTGATTTGTTGTGATAAATAACTTATAATAGCCTCAGTCGTTCCATCAGAAATCGATGGTTGTGGTTATACTGCTGCGCAGGAGGGCATATATGGTTGCGTTTAATGGCAGGCCTTGGTCAAGATCATCGGGAGGGATGTTTATCACTGCACTCTGAGATATATATATATTTACTAATGTGTACATTTTGGAAGAGAAATAAAAGAGATGCTTTTACAAGACATGCTTCCCCCCCCAAACCTTGCTATTCATTAGCAATTTCCACTTTCCAGTTCAATTCTTGCAATGCCCCCTGATTGATGGAAAGCCTGCCGTGTTTATTTGGATATCAGGGAATGAAATATTCATATTGTGCGCTTTTGCAAGCAGAAGTTATCTGGGTGCAGCGTAAATGGTACTTGGGATTAGATTTTCACAGCAGATTGCAGTTATTAAAGAGAAAAAAAGGAGGGGGTTACAGGGAAGCTGCCATCTTCTGGGGAGGCAATTTATTTCTTTTCACGCAGACTTGGAGCGGCTGCATAGCCTCTTAATGCACTGGAGCAAAAGTGCTTTGGTCCGCAACCTTTCACGCCTTCCTCTCCCTTTTATATGATTGAATACTTAATTTTGACTTTGCTTTGAAAGCCTGCGCCATGGGGCCTGTTCGGTTGGCTTGTGGTGAGGCTGCTGTACCTGAGTGTTTGTCTGCTGCTAACTGCCCTTATTACCAGCTGTCTGTCAGCCTTTTGCCCACAGCTCATCCGGCATCATGTCCATCTTCTGCATGTCATCTCGCACTCTTTATCTTAATATCAGTCTGACTTTTAGGCTGTTTTCATATTTAAGATGTTTTGTTTTTGTCTCTTATGATTGTTGCTTGTCACATTGTACAATGTGACCTGGGTAATATCTTGGTTAAAATCCTATGCAGGCGTTATTTATTTATTTATTTTATGTCAGACATAGTTTGGTCATAATTGACAGTGTTTACTGGAGATCAATCGCATCATAACATCATCATTGACATGCAAAATTGAAATGGTACTTTCTATGATAGAAAAGAAAAATCTGAGGGTACGTTTGCACGACAACAATTGTACTAAAAAAGGACAGGTTTGTCACCTTGTAAAGTAACACTACGCGCCTGTGCACATATGTATTCTTATAGTTTGACTGAATGTGTAATGCACATGCGCATGACATCACCATTTTCACAAATTCACGTTTTCGTAGTTTACACGGGAGATGATAATAGAATTGTTTTCAAAAACTTGCACTTTGAAATGCGTTTTCAAGCCCCCAAAAATGCCATTGTCATGTAAAAGAATGGCCAAAAAGTTTTCTGTTTTTAAAGCGGGGCCATGTAAACACCCCCCGAGTCCCAGGAGTCTCATGGTTTAGTGAAACATGGATTTTAAGGACTGTTCGTTCCTTTTGCCCATTCCAAAATTGAGGTATATATATATATATATA